TCAGAGCTGAAAATGATGTTGTATGTATCCCAGCATCCGCCTTGTTTTGCAGAGCAGGAAACAGATCTGGAAAAGTCAAATCATTAAATCATTTGTACACACGCTCAAATCTTCTAACTCTTTTTCAGGAAGAACCCCCACGTCCCGCCCGCCACACACACACACACACACACACACACACACACACACACACACACACCCTGCTCGGTCACTGGGGCAATGTGATTGTTCATTGCTTATATCTTCAAGGAATCTTTTTTTTTTTTCATTTCAATCCCCCCTCTACCCTGAAGCCCCTTCCCATTGTCATCCTCTCTCATCTTCTTGTGAGGGACACATGGTGGGTATAGAACATGACCCCTGCTCTAAGGCCTTTACAGCCACAGACCCCATTCAGCCCAACATCGTGATCAATCAAAGGGGAAGAATGCTTTAAGAGGCGCCAAAACAGCCACAAAGCGAACTGTAGTCATCAATGAAGGCCACCTAAAAGATGAGTGACTGACGCCTGACCTTGAAGCCAGGAAGGGGGTGTGCAGCCAGGAGGCCTTGATGGCTGACAAAGGGTCTGGAGGAAGAAAGAGCCCAAAGCAGAAACGCCCTGGCTTCTGGAACACAGAGGAGAGGAGCCAGGCGGGGGAGGAGGAGGAGTGGGTGAGAAATAACTCGTGGGTGGGGACTTATTAGTGAGAAGATCCTAGAAGCTGGTGGTGGGATTCCATCTTGATGGTATAGGTAATAACTCTAATAGGTTCTTGATGGAGAAGGGACAGACTGGCCCTAATGCTCAGAGGACCACGTGGATGGGGCTGCTCCCAGGGCTGCGGCTGCCTTTGCTCCTTTGACTGGTGCTTGGAAAGCCCAAAACTACACAGCGAGATGGGAGTGGACCTGGGTGCCTGCCTCCACCTCGGCAGGCCATCCTTGCTGGGCCTGGCCCGCAGCCTCTCCTGCCCATTCCTCCCCTTTAGCTACTTGCCAGGGGAGAAAACAGTCTGGGTGTCACCTGGTGACATTTGAAGGATGTCCTAAAGATTGCAAATCCCTAACGCCCCAAAGGATTCGTCTCCAGGTTCCAGGAGACGAGGCCAGCTGATGCGGAAGACGAATTTGGTTGAGGCCCTCCTGGTCTCCGCCAGAGCTCCGACCCCATGGTGCACCCCTCCCCAGACAGCATCCTTGCCTAACCTGTTAGACAGGTCGCCCTTGACTTTGGTTATGCAGCCATGCCAGACAAGGCCAGTGTCATCATCACTGGCAATTCTTCTTGCCATAGTCTTTCATTCAGACAGAATACGAATCCTTGGGGATTGTTTGGTGGGGATTTTCATGATTAGGCATCACTGGCTTGCTGTGGCCAAAGATTATATTGTCATTGGGCATTTTTCCCTGGCCGTCTTTTGTATTAAAACATACGTGAGGGTTGAAAAAATTCTGTTCTTACTAACTTGGGGAAAGAAGGCGATTTGATTTTGTTAGCAAGTTGGGGAATGGGTGGTCCTGTTTTGCTTTCCTCTCCTTTTGTTTTGCTTTCATTTCATGCTGCATGATTAAGAGGAGAAACTCTGTGTTAATTATTAATTGATGTAGGAGGTCTGAACATCAGGCTTAGTCAAACCTTAGGATCCTCTTGTGTAGCTATGAGAAACAGAGAAGAGAAATAATGGAAGTGAGCACACACACACACCCCTTTGAATACCGTGTGCCAGATACTGTTTTAACAGTTTTACTCATATTAACACATTTTACCTCCCTCTAAATTCTATAAGGTAGAAAAAGTTATATGTACCCATCTTCCATGTAAGGACACTGAGGCACAGAGAGGTCAAGTGCCTTGGCAAAGTTCAGCTAGCCAGAATTGAAACCCAGAGTCCATCCTCTGAACTACTTGGCCAAGAAGAAATGTTTGAAATCATTAATATATTTACATATTAATAATTATATTATTAATATTAATTACTATATTATTTATAAGTTAGTAACTGTATTATAAATTATAAATATATTTTTTAAATAATTTTTAAAAGTTATTAAAAGCAGGCTGGCCCTGTAACCTAATGGTTAAGTTTCACATGCTCTGCTTCGGCAGCCTGGGTTTGTGGGTTCGGATCCCAGACGTGGACCCACACCAGTCATCAGCCATGCTATGGCGGTGACCCATATATAAAATAGAGGAAAACTGGCACAGATGTTAGCTCAGGGAAAATCTTCCTCAGGAAAAAAAAAAAAATTAAAACAGTGTATAAAAAAAGTTATTAAAAGCATCGCATTAGACATATGCGATGAAGACACGCTCACATTTCATAAGTATCTGTAAAATGTTCAGATGGAAATCATGTGCATATAGATGTTTATAAGACTTACTGAATCTCCATCTGTCAGTTACATATTCTTGAGTCCATTTATTGACTATGAATTTTGCCTGTCCAGTCCCATGAGGGCCTCTAATAACATCCAGCATTTAAAAATAATATTTAAAATCAATCAGCAATTAGTATTTTTGAGAGTCAGCGGGAATAATTTTAATCTCGCCTACCTTCAAACTTAGGAATTCTATCTTTCCTAATCCTTGGAGGCAAACAACGTTAGAGGGAAAGATAGCTGTGGTTTCTTTTACTCTTTTTTGCCCTGAGTTTATAAAAGGCGGGGACCGTGGTGGGGTGGGGAGTGGATAGCTGCCCATCTGATCCTATGTTCCCTGGGGTCTTGACTTGAAAGAAAACAAATCTGAATCTCTCTTGATCCTGTGTTGTTTATTGATGATTAAATGAAAGCCATGTGACTCTGCGAGGTGTTACGTCTAGACAGACACCAGAGGTGTGCATTCCAGAATTTAAGCAAAGCCAAACTCAAGGGAATATTGGAAAAACCAATCACGTGTGCTAAAGTTCTGCCACCTTTCCAGTTTGAGGGCTGGAAAGCACAAATTCATGGTCAATTACGCAGCAGGTAGATTCAGGCCGTCCCCTCATCCTTCTGTGTTCTCTTTTGTGTTCCCACAGGGAAAAGCTTCACTCTGACCATTACCGTCTTCACAAACCCACCACAAGTTGCCACTTATCACAGAGCCATCAAAATCACAGTGGATGGACCCCGAGAACCTCGAAGTAAGTGGGCCCCCCTGGGGCTGGCACACTCTCTAGGCTGGTACATCGGGCACTGGGGATGGTGTCTCAGAATCCTTAGGTTTGACTGGCCTCGCTCAAATGTGGCTAAAACCTCTGCCAGAGGGGGATGTCAGGCCCCTGCAAGGAGAAAGAATTTTATTGTTGACACTCTCCCTCCTCAAGTGTTATTTCTGAGCACTGGGCTCTTTCTGAAGCATCCTTTTAGAGGGCAGAAGAAAATTAGGCTGACTCAAGTGCATGTTAGAACCATTTCAGGGCTGCATGAGGCTAAAGACTAGTCCCTCAAATACACAGTGAAGTTCAAGAGGATCTGAAACAAACAGTGAATGGAAGATTGGCCAGACATAGGGGTGGCCAAAAAAAGCCTGAGGGTCAGAGTGGACCACAAGGGGCTGATTACCATCCATGCTGGCCTTTTATTCATTTGTTAAGGCTGGAGATGAAAATGACCCTTTTCTTTCTGTGGCATAGATCAAAATCTTATTACAGGATTGTTTAAAATAGAGAATGGGAGGGTAGAAGAGCGCCCAGGGGAAAACCAGTAAATATAGAAAGATGGTACCAAAAAAATAACTCCTGTGAGGAAAGCTTTTTAAAAAAGGAGTGGGGTTGTTTAGTCTGCAGAAAGATGTCTTCACGGTGACTTAATGACTATCTTTGAGTAAACACAAGAGTAACACTCTTTTCCAGAACCACACCCTACGCCGGGATGGAGGCTGGGTTACAGTTCAGGTCTGTGGAGCTGACTGCAGCCCCTGCCCGGCATCTACATGCCTCCAGAAAGTATCAGGTGCCCAGTAGAAAATGGATATTCTCTCTTCTCAGGGAGAGAGATTCAACCACAGGGCTTCTTGCTGTGCCCAGAAGATGAGATGCAGTGAGGTCGGGTCGTAAAACAGAGTGGTTGAGAATTTAGGTTCTGAGAGCAAACAAGTGGAGTTCTGGTGCAGACGCTTAAGCCTTTGGCAAGTTACAGAGCCTCTCGGAACCTCAGTTTCCTCATCTGCAAAATGAGGATAATAGTGAGAGCTTCTTTATAAGATTGAATGAAACAATGCTGTGTGCCTGGTGCAGGGACTGAACTTAGGAAACGTTTGTGATCCCCGGCCTGCATCTCTGGCTGCTGCCCGCTGGGGCCAGTCCTCCAGAGGACCCTCTCATCGTAGTGGTGCCAATGGAGGCTCTAAGGTTGCCCCTGGGGTGTGGCTCTCTACGGGTGACACTGTGATCACCGCAGCCTGTGGCAGCCTTTCCTGCAGTCCTAAGCACAGCCTTATAGCATCTCGATCACCTGCTAGCACCATCCCAGGTGCAGCCTTCCCAATGCCCCAGACTGGGCAAAGCCCTGCAGAGAACCACCATGCCCACCAGGAACAGCACCGCAGGACACAGTGTTCCATTCGTGTTCTATCCACTTCGTGCCATTTGCCTGCTCCGTGAGACTCTCTTTATCTCTGACCTCATTTTCTCCCTCTCAGCTTTTTCTCTTTAAGCCCATGGAGACTTTCTGGCCATGCCCAGACTCAGGAAACTCTGGGGCTTGGTACCATCCTCTGATTCCAATGGATATGTGAAAAGCCGTAGGCACAGGACCACACAGTTCCAGCCAAACCCAACTTCGTAGGTTTCCAAAGTAGAAATGATGGACAAACCAAAGACTAATAGTGACCCTGCATTAAACACAACAGAAACACCAAGTAGGGGCTTGGCTCTCCACAGAGGACCAAACAGGAAGCAGGCTTAAATCATAGCAAGGCATGGGGTTGGGGACAGGCAGTGGTGAAGTGTAAGGAAATTGACTTCGAGGGTAAACTTCGAGAAAGACTCACTCAGCTGTCTTAGAATCTCTGGCTTCAAAAATAGAAGCAACAGCCATCTCTTGGTCAGTTCAAATGCTGACCTGCCTGGAGGAAGAAGCTTAAACCAGGTGACCCTTGATGTACCTCTTCTTCTGTTGTTCTCTCATGCGTAAAAAAGGGTGGTTTGTGCCCCACTGCTAGTATTTCCTATAACATTCAAAGAACTAACGAAGTGGTTGAGCTTCAGAAAACAAATGGTGGCCGCCCTGACTTTTAAGAATTGGCAGTCAGAGGGGAAAAATATGCGATTGTAATGGCCTGTCTGTATATACAGTTTACTCTGCTTCCTGCTGTTTTATAACTTAAGAAAACAGTCATTATTGAGAAGGGTTCTTTGAACAGACAGAAGGGATTTGCTCCGAAGCAGCATCCATTTTTATGGAGTCTTTCTTGCCAAAGGGAATTCATTCGGGGTCCAGGGAAAAATTAAATGAGAGGTAATAAGTATGATATAAAGAGGTGTGTTATAGCCCCAGGTAGATAGTCTCACATTTCACAAGGGGTTTCTAGGAAAAAAAAGTCAAATGCACACAGGCTTCCAGGGTGTCTTGAGTAATGCTGACTTTTCTATTCCCCTGTGAAGCAAGGGTGGCCATCACTGCTAATTTTAGCTTATTGTTTTCTTCGTTATTTGAACATCTTGATTCAAGATGGGAACTACTTTTTGATGAAGCTCTGCTCACAGCCACTTTCTTTTCTTTTTAAGAGAAAGTTAACAGAATTTTTTTCCCAGCTTTATTGCGATATAATTGACATACAACATTCTGTAAGTTTGAGGTTTACAACATGATGATTTGATATATGTATATATTACGAAATGATTACCGCAATAAGATTACAGTTGTTACGTGTGTGTGCGCACGTGTGTGAATTGAGAACTTTGAAGATCTACTCTCTTAGTAACTTTCAAATATACAATGCAGTCTTGTGTGCTCCCCATGTAGAGTCACCATGCTGTACATTACATCCCTGAGACATTCATCTTATAGCTGGACGTTTGTACCCTTTGACCTCCTTCACTCATTTCCCCACCCTCCCACTCCACCCCTGCCCTCACCCCCTGCCCTGGCAACCACCAATATACTCTCTGTTTCTATGAGTTCGTCTTTTTTTGGATTCCACTTATAAACGAGAAAGACAAATACTGTATTTGTTTTTCTGTCTGACTTGTTTCACTTAACATAATGTCTTCAAGGTTTATCCATGTTGTTGCAAATGGCAGAAATGAAGGCTGAATAATATTCCATTGTATGTATATACCACATTTTCTTTATCCATTCATCCATCGTTGGACACTTAGGTTGTTTCCTTGTTTTGAGTATTGTAAATAATTCACAGCCACTTTCTAATGTAATTTTAAGAGAGGTCATTGCGTGTAAATCAGGACACCCAGATAGTGTCAAATCTGTGGATTACTAAGACGTCCCAGTCCCTTCTATCATGGTGCGATGAATTCTCGGCGATTCTGGCAAAATGGCCCTGGCATCGTGAAGTCGAATAGTTTTGAAAAGTCTATTGTTTCCTGAAGTCAAAGACTATGAGACCTGGAAGGGACCTGAGAGAGCCTTCAGACCTAATAGCCTCATAGACAAGAGAAAGCAGCTCCAGATAAATGAAATGATTTGCCTAGGTTGAAAAGAAATAGTTAGTGATGAAGCCAGAAATAGAATGAGGAGCTCCTGAGACCGAATCCTGTCTGCTTGGATCCTCATGTCCATCTGTCCATGCACCTCTCCATCCATACCCTATTATATCCATAATATGCATCATCTATTCTAAACTCGCTGACCTGGCCTCGGTGTCCGCGTGTTTGAAATGAGATGTTGCCTTTTATGACTTCTCACCTTCATCCCGGCTCTAAGATAGTCTAGAAAGGGCAAATGGCAGTGCCTCATTGCAGGCAGGGAGCCTTCAACCGAAGCATTCGTGCCAAAAACCAGAAGCAAAGGTTATCTCATTCAACCTGCCACTCAAGACTAAGAATTAAAGAACAGGCCACAGCCGTCTGTTGACCAGGCCAATGGGATAACTTGATGTTTCCCACCCCACTTTCCTAGTTTTCAGTGGTGAAGTTGTAGCAAAAAGTGAAAGTGTATTCCAAAGAGAATTGAAAATGTTTTTCATTTCAGACGGTTACTTGCTCTTTTATAGTAACTGACCTGCCACTCAGTGAGTCAAAACTCATTTTTCCCACATTTCATGGGATTTTTTCTTTTTACCTCTCAGACCAATAGAGAAATTATTAATTGTTGACAAATGAAATTTATTATGGAGAAAAAGCACCGTCAGAAGGTGTTCTTTCCTGGGATCAGTTCTTCTAAGCAGCAGTGGAGGGTCTGTTCTCATTTCATAAGTAGAACAGTTAATAGCTTGTTTAATGGCTTCAGAGATAGTCTTCTCTTAAAGCATGAAAGATAGAGTAAAAGGATTTTTTTAAGAAATGGATATCTGAGAGTTGTTTTTATGTATTTTTTTAAAATATATTTCAGGGGATCTAATGAAAAACTCTAGCTCTCAGCCCATGTGTCTGTAATTTAGCCCATGTGTCTGTAATATGATAATATTGGATAGCAAAGCATATTATCTGCAGATATTTCACTAAAGAATTTGACTGCATGAATTAGCTCAGTGCCATGGAGAAAGGTATTTTGCTAAGGAGAGGTTGAGGAGGGCGAGCAGTTGGGACCCTAGCTGACCCACTGGTGGGGGGGAGTGGGCATAGGGAGGGCCGTCTCGGTGGTGTGGATTGGACAGTCATTCTGATGTCACAAACCATCACCTGTCTGGCCAGGCATCTGTTACATCTGGAACACTGAGTAACCTAATTAAAAATTGAGACGGTTAATAAAACAAATATTGGCCATTTCTGGGAGAACTTCTGCCCTCGGGTTAAAGGAGTTCTTCACAGTAACTGTTGTGTCTGAGCTCTTGAGATTGGCTGTAACGGATAGCTAGGTGGAGCCGTTACTTAACTTGAGAATACACTACTTTCTGGGGTGCTGGCCTTCTGGCCAACTAACCTTTTTTTATAGGGGGTCGTAGTTAAGATAGGTCCACTGAAGAGCCTAACTCACTCCCCATCACCCAATTGCTTTGTTAAAGATATCATTGAGTTTATGT